TGATTTTCATGAAAGTGGATGTAATTAAGTAGTTAAAAACAAATGCTTGTATAAATGCTCACTGATGCTTAAAAACAGTCTGTACTAACTTTTAGTAACACCACCTTTCATCTTTCTCCCTTGTAGAGTTCTTGTCTCATCTCTTTATGGCTGTAGGATATGAGCAAGTGGTCAATGAGTATGTGCTACGAGAAACTGTGAATAGGAAAGAAGGTCTGCGTGTTCCAAGGGTTTTTCTTCAGAGCAAATTTCGAAAGCCTCTAAGTGAAGCATGAGTATTTGCTAATGAGCCACAGAAATGCTTGTTTAAATGGGGCAGTGAGGGGGGGAATTCTAGTGTGGTGTTTTTCCTTGGCTGTACTATCCTGGAGTCTGCTAAACCAGAATGACAGAATCATGTTTTCCAGCCTTCTGTTGTTTTTGATCCTTGGGTATAGAAGATGAGAGTGACTGTTAGAATACAATTTTAAGATAGGATAAAGATACATATATACAATCAACCTCTTTGAGTGCCTAAATTTCCCCTTTTTAAAGTAAATTCTATGCACCATTGTTAGAGGCTCTTGTGTGATTTTAATATAAAAATGGTTTAAATAAGACAGTCTGTTTTTAAATAATTCTCCAAGGATTTTGCATAGGATTGTAATTTTCATTAAGGAAAGTATGTTGTTGAGCATAAACTGGTTAAATGTTCATTATAAACCGCTGTTTCCACTAGTTGTAAGAATGGATTAGTGTTGTGTCCCTTCTCTTTCATATTAAAACTATTTTATATTTCTGCTAATGGACACTTTTTGTTTGATATTCATTTTTATAATAAGGCCTATTAAAAGTTATAGGGGTTTATTTTCTTTTCAGTGCATATAGGCGTCTGCACCTAATTTATATCCGGTGTTAAGAAGACACACTCCATGTGTGAAAGGTTAGCCAAAATACTGTTTTTATTATGAAAACAATCATCTGTAGCAATTTGATGAACTATTTCTTAAGACATCTATTAATCATTTATAAGCTATTTCTGAATGGAATCTTAATATAAAGCGTGATTGTTACTTTTATACATGCTTCCACTTTCTACCAGCAAAGAGAGACTTTTTGGAACTTAAGGGGGGACAACAGCCCTGCAAACACAAAATCATTGCCTCTGTAAAGCATGTGACCTGACGCGGAACGTTGCCTTGTTTGTTTTGCTACATCTTATAATGACAGGTTAGAAATAGCAGGAAGAAACATTTCTTTTAATTTATGTCCATCTCTTTTACAGGTGTTCTGTTTCTTTCCTGCTTCCACTCCAAAAATTAGTTAAGCTGTAGACCTGTGACCCACTAACAAAGCAATTAAGCCTCAAGGCCCATCAGTTGATGGCCTGGTGGAGCTGTTAGTTAGTGAGGCCATCAGTGCTTCTTTGGCATGAGTGCAGTATGAGCATTTATGTCCATTTCTCAAAATGTTTCAAGGGTGACTGATATGACAACCCCCTGTCCCTTTTTCCCTTTTCAGAGAGGCTGAGGCTAACAATGTCCTGTTAAGAACAGTGGATGCTTTTTGCAGACAAGCACCTGCCCATTACATAATGTTAGGGAATAGCCAAGAAGAATGAAGTGGGGGGAGAGACCTCTGTGCTTTTCCCTTCACACACCCTGGCCTAATCTTTGTAAGTTGAAGAGCCAAGAATCACATGCCTCTGTTGCTTTAAAAAGACATTTTGAATGTCACAGGGCTTCACTGAGTCTCGAAAGGGAATCTGGAGTCTCTTCTCTGAGCAGTGTTGAAAGAGATGACCCTCCACCACCCCAGAATTCAATCGCTGCTGGCAGAAAAAGCCCAGGAGTTGATATCTTGCTTAGTGAGATGACTGGTGGTTATTTAACCCAGAAGGTTACAAAGTCCTCTGAATGGTACCCTAGTCCCCAAGTGATGTCTAGGTCCCCTAGGCAATCCATGTTGCAAGAGGATAATCTCCTTTCCCTGAGGTTTACACAAGACTGTGACCAATGCCTGATTCACACCGCTCTGAAATTTAATATTGTTTGAGGTATCTATTCAATGCTCTGTTTCCTGGGTGAAGCAGCATGGCAGTTTTGTCATCATCCTGTTCTCAGATGGTTGAAAGGAAGGAGAAGCTGGTCCTAGCCCATACCACATCCCAAAATCAGGCTGGGTTTGTTCTCCGTAGAGTTGTATTGGGGGAGAAAGAGGGGGGGAAAGGAGGTGAGGCTCTTGGCTCAGCTCTGAATGCCATTAGCATTGTGGTTCAGTTTGTCCCAGAGGGAGGAGATATTTACTACTCTAGCCCTTGCTTGCTGTAGCATGGTTCATCTACCTTTCATGTAACTAGGGAGGAGAGGAGAAATGCCTGCCAACTGTTTCATGGTGACCAGGCTTACAGTGGGGATTGGAGCACACTGGGCGGGTGGAGTAGGATACAGTGGAAGAAGCCTAACCCTTCCCACCTACAGAGAACAGACAGCAGGGAGAAACCTTGAGGTCCCCCCGACCCCATCTGGTGATGAATGGGAAAAAGAAAGAGGAGGAAAGTCCAACTCTGCACAAAGGAGGGAAGTGGAAATGTCCCCCCTGTGCTGAAGGTGGGAATAAGCATGCATTCCTGTTAAAGATGATGGGTGTGGGTAGTAAACCACTGCCTTCCTCTCCCCCCAGAAGATACATGTAGGTAGAGGTCCCCTTTTGTTGGAGCTTATTTGAAATGGATGATCACAGGGCCTTGCTCATGGGCCTCCATACTTCTGGACCAGTATCTAGAATTGTGGATACTTCTCTGAACTCCGAACCATTAGAAGTCTTCATAATTAAATTATAATAAAAATAACCTATCTTAACTACAGCTCACACACAACCCTCTGGCTGCTGAGGATTTTGTAGCCCTAGAATCCTGTCTTATCTCAAGAATTGTCCCGGGGGGAGGAATGAGGGTAAGGTGTGTAACAGGATCTTAAAATATATATCCATGGTATTCTCCTCACCTATCATGCTGAGAAATTGCTCTGCAGCACTTTTAATGAACATGTGTTATTCATCTTGCTACTCGAGTTCTTGTCAATCAAGCAGGGCTGCTGTTTTGTTGACCTGATTATGGGGAGATGACTTCCTTCCTGTCCCCATTAATCTCAATGGGCTGCTTGATCTAGCTTGCTTAAACTTATCCAGTGAGGTGCTCCTGGCTAGATCTGTTTCAGGCAAAATTTAAAACAGAAAACAATTAGAAAAATAACCATGCATTTGAAGGAGAAAACAGGCCCATAATGGGAGGCTTTGTGTTAACCTTGGTAACTAAAAGGCTGTTTATAGATTGGGTTCCCTTGTGGTGTCCTGTGGTTCTGCAAACAGAGTGGTACTTTGGTTTTAAGCAATTATCACTGTGCTCAACCTCCTACTGAATATGCACAGCTTGAATGGAAACAACATAAAAGCTATGAATATTGGCCTGAAAATGTAATTAACTCAACGTTATACATCTACAAATGTCAGTAAACTATATGCCAATGTGTGGGAAAGGATGCAGGTTTGATCTCACAATAGCCAATCTGCACATGCTGTTCACCATGAAATCAGGGAAATGATTAGACCTGACAACCTTTTTCTGTTGTTTGGATTATTAAGTTCATGCATTTGAACATATTGGAGATATAAGATGCCACCAAGGTATCTGAAAGCTTGCAAGAAAATAAATATTGAGAGTAAGTCTTCAGAAAAAAAATTAATTTACCACAGATCTGTCGACTTTCAGAAAATACTGTTCTTACTAGACACTGGATAACATGCAACTAAAATGAATTGTTTTTCTGGGTAGTGAATCTTTTGAAGGAAGTCATGTAGGTTTCAAAACAAGACTGCCTTACAAAGTGCTGCAGACACAGATAATTATACCATTTTAAGTACAAATGATGGTCCGTGATACCGCCGCTAATACGTGCAAGACATTTTGGAAAGCAGATTTTTCCATTGTTGACTGGTTTTCCTTCGTTCAGTGCTGCTATGCATACATGATGGGTTTTCCAGCAAATGAGTTGTCTGATTATGCTTGTTATTAGGAAGAAAAATTGTGAACAATTTGAAGCATTTTAGTGCAATGACTTCACAGTTATGCATTCTGCAGAAAGATCTCAGCCTCCCAGAAGTGCAGTTGATTCAATGCGTAAGTACATGTTGGCTCTCTCCATTTCTACTGTAGCATATTTATTAGAACAAAGGCAGGCAGTGAGTCTAGGTTGTACAGAGGCCCAGAGACTGTATTTTGCAAAGATAAAGTAACTAGCCTAGTCAGTGGCTTTTAGCAGAAAATGTTTTCTTTGTTGCGTTTAAAACAGATTGGAAGACCGCATAATAGTTTCAACTTACATAGACTTTCTGGTGTTATATTTGTATAAATTGTTAGTACCAAATATGTTGGTATTTTTAGTAGCATCAATGAAGTGGTAAATGTAATACATGTGTCTTTCATTTATGGATCTATCCATTATTTGGCTTCAGCCAAATAACCTTCCAATTATTTGGTATTCATTTGTACACTAACTTTCAACTCTCAGTACACCCATTCCATGCTGTATGGTAAATGGACAGCCTGATAATGGTTCTCATGAAAGGATTGAGTAGGTATGTGCAACATGGGCTGGTGAGCCTGGAGCTAAAATAGCCCTGATTACAGGATGAGTCACACCTGGATTGAATCGGGTGCTTTCAGGCTAAGAAGAGCAGGAAGTTGAAGTAAAGGGGGGCAGCCTGGAATACTGCAACTATGTCTGTAGATGCTGTAGGGAGCAAGAAGGCTCCTGTAGGGACCTGATTCAGCAAGGCAAAAACAGAAGTAGCAGGAGAAAGCTCTCCAGGCAGGGAGGCCTGGGAGAGACTGTAAAGGCCAGTAGAGATGAAGACTGTGTGAGTTTGTGCTTCGTGGTGTTTTTGGATTAATCTGGAGAGAGAGACACTGAATTGGGAGGGTGGGAGGGAGTGGGGGGTCTAGAGAGACAGTTTGTAAAAGAGGACTAAAGAAATGTGATTCTTTGTGGGGCTTGTTTGAATGACTTATGAACTCTTAAAGGGCCTTGAAGAGTGGGAGAAACCGAGCAGGACATTCCAGAATGACCTGTGGCCATGAGGAGGCACTCAGGAGGTGGCTGTGCAATATTAATTGTAATAGCAATCTGTAATAGCACACAAAGATAAACATCTCCATATATTTGGCCCTGCCCTATCTATGATGTAGCTTTTCACAATAGTAGAAAATACCACTGCCTTGTGAGAGTCATGAGCTCTCTGCTTCTGCAGGGGTGCAGTGAGCAAGCACTCCCAACACAGCCTTGGCAACAGAGATGATCAGTCTTAATTAAAAATTGGCTGCCAAGAGGAGTGATCTGAGAAGATGACCTGGATGCCAGAGGGAGTCTGTTTATTGAACAGCTACTGTCCTTAGGAGACAGTACTTATCACATTAAAAGAGCTGTAATTCACAATAACAAAGGTGGTTGGGGTTGGCAGAAGTAGAGCTTGTTCACTTGGCCAGGTCCTTAGAGGAGTCTGGTGAATGATGTTCATGCCCTCTGCAGCCTAATCTCTTAGGGATGTTCATGAATTGGTCGAAGGATTAGAGGCGTTTAACCACAGTCTGCCGAGTGTCCCAAGTCCCAGTGCATGCAGTAATTTTTTTTTCTTATAGTCCGCCTTTGGACTTCAATTTGTGTATGGTGTTTGGATGCAAAGAAGAGCTGCTGGTGTTCCAGGCTCTATAAAAGGGCTGTGATGCCACGTGTATATATGGGATTGTAGTTTA